GTCGGCGTCGTCGTCGTCGTCGCTGCCGTCGTCTTCTTCTTCCTCCTCCTTCTCCTCTTCCTTTTTCCCCTCCTCCTTCTCCTCCTCTTCCGCCTTCTCCTCCTCTTTCTCCTCGTCCTTCTCCTCACCTTCCTCCTCCTCCTCCTCCTCCTCCTCCTTCTTTTCCTCCGCCTCCCCCTTCTCCTCCTCCTCCTCCTCCTCCTCCTCCTCGTCCTCCTCGTCCTCCTCGTCCTCCTCGTCCTCCTCCTCTCCTCCTCTCTCTCCTCGTCCTCCGTCCTCCTCCTCCTCCTCCTCTCCTCCTCGTCCTCTCCTCCTCCTCTTCGTCTCTCCTCCTCTCCTCCTCCTCCCTCCCTCTCACCCTCCTCCTCCTCCTCCTCCTCCTCCTCCTCCTCCTCCTCCTCCTCCTCCCCTTCCTCCTTCTCCTCCTCCTCTTCCTCCTCCTCCTCCTCCTCCTCCTTCTCTTTCTTCCTCCATCTCCTCCTGCTGCCTCCTCTTCTCCCTCCCCCGAGGCTCAGGAGCTCCTCCGATCAAAGTTTTTTCCCAAGGTGCCTTGAGGCCTCCTTCAAGATGCCCCGAAATCCTCCAGTTCTGTCTTAAATCGTCTTCCAGGGGCCGTCATGTTCCCCCAAAAGTGGTTCTGAAGCTTCTTTGAGTGGCTCTGGTGGCTCACCAAGTGGCTCCAGAGGCTGTCCAGGGGGCTCCTGCGGCTCTTCCACAAGTTGTGGGGCCTCTCCCAGGGGTTTTGGGCCACTCGGGCGGCGTTGTGATAGTTAGAAGGAAAACATGGGCAGGGCGATTGCGAAGGCGATGTGCCATCCGGGCTGGAGATGTTGAGGTGCCTCTGAAGAGGTGTTGTCAAGACCTCCTCGGGCGGGAGATTTGGGTAAGGGAATATCGGACCCCGGTGTGCAAAGAAACACCCCTCTGAGGGGGGATCTATCAGGATTGATATATGCTGCGTAGAGAGCCATAAAGCATTCAGGTACATAATGTGTTGTTGTTATTGTTGCTGTTGTTGTCGCTGTTGCTGTTGCTGGTGCTGTTATTCTTGTTGTTGTTGTTGGTATTGTGAATTTTGCTTTTGTTGTTGCTGTTGTTGTTGCTGCTGTTTTGGCTGTTATTAATCGTGTTCTTGTTGATGTTGTTATTGTTGTGGCTGTTGTTGTTGGTTGTTGTTGTAGTTGTGGTTGTTGGTTGTTGCTTAATGTTTGTTGTCTGTTTTTTGTTGGTTTGTTGTTTGTTGTCTGTTATGTGTATAGTTGTTGCTGTTGCTGTTGCTGGTGTTGCTGTTGTTGGTGTTGCTGTTGAATGATAATTACTAAACAATGATTATTGTTGGACCCCTTACAGGCGCCCTGCCGCTCTCGCCGAGGCGCTGGCTGCATTTTCATTGAAAATGAAGCTCACTCTCAAGCGGTTTAGGGGACCGCCAAAAATGCCCCCCCAACAACAACAACGCTCCCGTTCGAGACTTCCTCCTTTTTTGCTCAGGGCCGGTGCTCTTGTTCGCCGCCGAAAGAAGCCGTCTCAACAAAACCAACGCTCCCGCTCGAGACATCCTCCCGTTTTACCTTGGACAGGCGCGCTACTCTTTCGCTCATCGGCGTCGCCCCCCAGCAACAACAACACTCCCGCTCGAGACTTTCTTTTTTACTCGAGGCGGTGGTCTTGCTCGCCGCCGAAAACCGCCGCTCCAACAAAACCGGCGCTCCCGCCCGAGACCCCCTCTCGTTTTACGCTGGACTGGCGCCCTACTCTCTTTTGAATGGGCGCCGCCCCCAGCAAAAGCAAAGCTCCCGCTCGAGACTTTTTTGGGGGGGTTTATATGTATATATATATATATATATATATATATATATATATAAATTTGAACTCAGAGCCGGTGCTCTTGCTCGCCGCCGAAAACAACCGCCCCAACAAAAACCAACGCTCCCGCTCGAGATTTCTTCCAGTTTTACCTTGGACTGGCGCGCTACTCTTTCGCTCATCGGCGCCGCCCCCAGCAAAAACAACGCTCCCGCTCGAGACATTCTTTTTTATACACTCAGAGCCGGTGCTGTTGCTCGCCGCCGAAAACCGCCGCCCCAACAAGTCCAGCGCTCCCGTCCGAGACCTCCTCCCCTTTTACCTTGGACTGGCGCCCTACTCTCTTTTGAATTGGCGCCGACCCCAGCAAGAACAACTCTCCCGCTCGAGGTTTCCTCCCTTTTTCCTGATGACGGTGTTGTTGCTCGCTGCCGACAGCCCCCGTTCCGACAAAACAGTCTCGAGACTTCTTCCCTCCTTACTCAAGGCGGTGTTTCTCCTCGCCGCCGACAACCGCCGTCCTAACAGAACCAGCGCTGCCGCTCGAGACTCCGTTTTGCTTTACGTTGGACTAGCGCCCAACTTTCTTCTGCATTGGCGCCGCTCCCAGCAACAACAGCACCCCTGCTCGAGACTTCCTCCCTTTCTATTCAGGGCCAGGTCCTTGCCTCGCCGCCGACAACCCCCATCCCCACCAAACCAATCCTGTCGCTCGATATTTCCTTGTGCTTTTCCCTTGGCTGGGGCTCCACTGGCGGTCTCGCATGGGCGCAGCAGGGCGCGGGCATGTGTTTTCGAGGCGGGATATGTTAAAATTCCTCGGAGGAGGTGTTTGCAAGACCTCATTGGGCGGGAGATCTGGGAATGGGAATAACGGACCCCCGCGATTGAACAGTAATCCCCCATGACGGGGATGGTTATCATGATGGTCGCATGCTGCGTGTGGAAGCATCGCGCATGAGGGTCAAATGATTGTTGTTGTTGTTGTTGTTGTTGTTGTTGTTGTTGTTGTTGTTGTCGTTGTTGTTGTTGTTGTTGCTGTTGTCGTCGTCATTGTTGTTGTTGTTGTTGTTGTTGTTGTTGTTGTTGTTGTTGTTGTTGTTGTTGTTGTTGTTGTTGTTGTTGTTGTTGTTGTGGTTATGTTGTTGTTGTTGTTGTTGTTGTTGTTGTTGTTGTTGTTGTTGTTGTTGTTGTTGTTGTTGTTGTTGTTGTTGTTGTTGTTGTTGTTGAAGAAGAAGAAAACTCACTCCGACTTACTCCTAAAAACTAGTTGTTGTTGATCACCCCCTCCGGTGACCACTGTATGTTGCAGTGAAAGTGCTTCTCCTTGGGCTCGCACCCTGTTTTTTATCGTGGAACACTGAGTGTCACAAAACTGCGTTGTTGGGCCCCAAAGTACAACAACAACGGGCCGCATTGATATTTCTCACGATGTATTGAGAAATCGCGCTTTCGCGCGGGAATTCCTTAACATTTAAGCAGAAATCGCGCTCTAGCGCGGTATTCCCACGCATTTTATTCAATGGCCGCGCCCTCGACGCTCAGGAACGGCGCTCTCTCTTTGGCCCTTTTACGTTTTTATTGGGAGTCGCGCTATCGCTCGAGACTACTTCCTCGCGATTTGTGCGCGATTCACGCTTCAGCAGCCCACGTTCTCGACCTGGCCGCCAGAGCCCGCCTTCCCGACCCGCCTGCTAGGTTTTGCCCGCACGATCTGCCTGTTTGGTTCTGCCACGCGCTTTCTGTCTCTAGCCCTTCCCTTATACTTACTCTCCTGCTCCATCCTTTTTTCTCCCCCTCCCATCCGTCCCCTGTTACCCCGTTCTAAAATATTGCATTCGATGCACGTGGCAGGCAAGGAGGATATACGCCCAAGGGGGTACGATCGAAAGCGAAGAGGGCAGGTACCGAGGGTTTGTGATATGCGTGTTGCATGGCTGACGATCAGATAGGGGCGTACAGTCTTCAAACGATTGTTGAGCCAACACCGTCGAGGAACAATTTGTGTTGATCCTTCCTCACCGGTACATGGTGTTTTTGAACTGAACTGTCCTCCTCAGGGCTCGCACCTTGTTTCTATCAGGGAACCAGTTCCTGCTCAAAGTGGGTTGTTGGGCCGTGACCCACAACAACAACAACAACGGCTCCCGCCTGACACGTCCTCACAATTTATTCCAACATCGCGCTCTCTCGCAGGACTTCCTCACAACTTCTGCAGGAATCGCGCTCTCGCGCGGAACGTCTCGCAAAGTGGCGACCCTCACGAGGGCCAGCTGTGGGCCAGGCAGTGCACATATTCGGATTCGACGTTGGGCTATCGTTTTCATAAGTGAAATTCTTGGGCCTTCGATTGTGTTGCTGGCGCGTGAGTTGCAGCAACTGCGGCTCCTGCCTGAGATTTTCTTGCAATTCATTCGAAGACGCGCTGTCGTGGGGGACACATCAATCCTTATCCAGGAATTACGCTCTCGCGTTGTACTTCCTCGCAAATTATCGAATCGCTGCGCCCACAATGCTCAGGAATTGTGGTCTCGCTTTGGATTTCCTCACGATCTCATTGGGAGTCGCGCTTCCGCTCGAGACTCTCTTGAGGTTGATGCGGGGGATGTCGCTTCAGCGACCCGCCCGCTCGACCCCGCCGTCTGGGCCCGCCCCCCTGACCCGCCCTGGCTGGCCCGCCCGGCTGGTTCTGCAATTCGCTTCTTGTGCTCCGAATCCCCCGCTGTCCCTCCCCTCCTCCCTCCGCCAGATACCCGTGGCAGGTACTGAAGACATGCCACCAAGGGTGGTACGATCGCAGACAAGGAGGGCGGTATCGAGGGTTCGGGATATACATGTTGTAATATCACGCGAACGCATCGAAACGAGCCGTCGTAGCAGGACTGTTTTTGTTACTGCCTTGAAGACCTCTAGGAGGCACATTGGGCCATCATGTGTTTGTCAGTTTTTGCGCGATTCGAGCATATGCAGCGAAGACTTTATACTAGTCGAAACCTCTTTCGGGCAGATCATCATCGCTCACCGTCTGGGTAGCACTATGTTTTTACATTGTCACATTCGATCTTCGTCGTATGTGCTGGGGCGCCACCACAAGTCGACGCCAAATTTCAGAGATGACATAGTTTGCACGTCTGCGACATTGCCTTGATGACTAGTCCCTCCTCTGCCAACTCCAAGCCGATTCCTCGACGAAGGCCTTTCAGCAATGCCTGGAGTACGACCCTGAGGACGGGCCAGAGTTCGTAGCCGACCAGTTTGGCTCTGGTCATTTCAGCTGGGACCCCGTCACGCCCGAGGGTTTCGTTCTGAAGCCTGGTGAGTACACAGAGGATCCGCGTTCGAAAGGTCATTGTGACCGCCATCCCAATTCCTGGTAGTTGCAGTTGGGTTTTTTTTGGCAGTGGAAGGGCATAGCAGTGGGGGTTTGGGAAACAGTGCCCGCATTCCCGAGGAGGCTGTGCCGGTGCCTGCGGACCGCATCCACTACCTGCAGGGTGCCGGTTTCCTTGCGGCAGAGGGGGACGAGGATTACCGTGCATATATTGATAACGATGTATTCTCTGCGCACGGCCGCAAGTGGCAACGGGTAATATTGAAGGGGCATAGGCTCGGAGTGCGAACTGGAATGCTTCGGCTCATGGCTGGTGTTCTCCGACGCAGACCATGGGAACTAGATGCAGACGTGAAGCCCTTAGCAGAATAGGTTGCACCGCCTGTGACCTTCAGCGACTGTGCTGAAGATGTTCCAAGTAGTTGATCGGTCGTGGTAGCGGCCATATCCAGTCGACATCCATCACTCGGCGTCTCTGCTGAAAGCTTTCCCACCGCTTTCTCGCCAGGCGGGTAAGGAGGTGAGGATGGAGCCAGGCGGATGTGTGAAGGAGAAGGAGGATGAGGAGGGGGAGGAGGAGGAGGAGGAGGAGGAGAATGAGGTGCTTTCATTGACCCTGTCCTTGTCGATGAGCGTATGCTTCGTATGCGTTTTGGCAACGGTGGAGTTCTAAGACGGCTGTCCCATATGATTTTGGCCACCCGTCCCTGCCTCGGTCTGTTGCTTCCCCTGGCAGGTTTTCTCCCCCATGCCACGCCACCTCGTCCCCAGCCGCGCCCCGCTGGAAAGATGGAGAAGGGAAGAGGGAGGAGCGGGGATGCGGAGGATGAGATGTGAGTAGGGAGGGGTAGGAGTAGGTGGGGGATCGAAGAAGAAACAACTGCACAAACATCAGCTTTCGGAGCTCGGCGCGGATTTCTTGGATTGGCTGTGGGCCACCCTCCTTGCTTCTTCCTTTGGGGTAGAGGAGAGGAGATGGAGGAGGGACAGTAGGAGTGAGGTCTTGGACTGTCGCTTCAAGGGGAGCAATCAGGGAAAGCAGAGCATAAGTATGCCAGCGGCCTTCGGACAGTGCCGATGTCCATTCGGCTCCAGCAGCCCTGAAGATGCTGATGATGATGCTGATGCTGATGAAGATGATGATGATGATGATGATGATGATGATGATGATGATGATGATGATGATGATGATGATGATGATGGTGGTGGTGGCGATGATGATGATTATGATGATGATGATGATGATGATGATGATGCTGATTGTGATGGTGGTGGTGACGATTTCGAGGATGCTGGTGCTGATGCTGCAGCTGATGATGATGGTGATGCTTCTGCTGCTGATGATGCTGAGGAAGAGGATGAGGATGAGGATGATGATTAGTATGATGATACTGATGATTATGATGATGCTGTTGCTGATGATGACGATGATGATGGTACTTATTTTAATGATGATGAGGATGCTGCTGATGATGATGATGACGCTGATGATGCTGACACTGATGCTGATGCTGCTGCTGCTGCTGATGCTGATGCTGCTGATGATGCTGATGATGCTGATGTTGATGCTGCTCCTGATGCTGATGATGCTGGTGCTTCTGATCATGCTGATGATGCTGATGATGCTGCTGATGATGATGATGCTCATGACAATGATGATGATGCTTATGATGATGATGCTGATGATGATGACGCCTATGCTGCTGCTGATGATGATGCTGATGATGCTATGACTAATATGATGATGATGATGATGATGATGGTGATGATGATGAGGATGCTGATGATGATGATGACGATGGTGATGACGATGATGATGCTGCTGCTGATGACGACGATGATGATGATGATGATGATGATGATGATGATTATGATGATGATGATGATGATGATGATGATGATGATGACGACGTTGTTGGTGGAACGTGGAGGGTGCGTAACACCATCATTCGCGTACATAAAAAACACCCGCTCGTTCGCGTACTTCGACGAAAAGAAGGAGGAGGAGGGGGAGGGGGAGGAGGAGGAGGAGGAGGAGGAGGAGGAGGAGGAGGAGGGACGCTGGCAGTACCCGTACCCTCGGTGCCCATCTCCACAGCTCCTCGCGCGCTATGTCCAGGCGGTTGTTCGTGTCCTTCCACGTCCACTTCCAAATCCAAGCCCAAACCATCCCAACCCAACCAGAAGCCTGAAGTCTCTTACCCAACCCAACCGCATTTTCTCACATTTCCCCCCTCGCCCTCTCCCATCCCTCACCTCCTTCTCTGCTCCACAGTTATCCAACATGAGTACCACTAGTCTCCTCTCTCCCTGGATTCCCTCCGAGCATGGACCTTTTGTTGATCTCTCTCTCTCTCTGTATCTCTGTCTCTCCTTTTTCTGCATGTATATGTTGTCGGGCTCACGCTGTCTTTCATCATGACTACCGTGTTTTGGATGCATCCCACGCAAGAACACATATCAGGAAGGGTATTCTTTCAGAGCATCAAAAGGTGTTGCTCACTTCTTTACTGGATAGCACAGGGTACTGAAGAGGAATAGTTATTGCGCCTCCCTCTCATCTTTAACCAGGGTTCCTAGCTTTTTTTTCTCGCCCCACTACCCCCCAATGGTTCCCTGATGCCCTGCTAATGGGTCAGTAATGACCCCACTCATGGGCACGCTGATGTCGCACTGATGACCTTGGCCACCCGTGGCCCACTGATGAACTTGACCAACTAGTGGCCACCAATGACCGACTAATGACTTTCTAACGATTATTGTTCCACCCATGTCCCAATACTGAATTTCGAACGGATCGCTTCTCATTCTTCCTGGGGGTGGTCGCGATTGCAGATTTCATCAGTGCATAATCAGGTGGCCGTGCCATCAGCCAGGTCCAATGATGCCATTGGTGTGTAACCATGCGTTAATTAGCGGGGCATTGGTCGAGTCCAAGGGTATTGTGAGGCAGGGCCCTTCAGGACAAATAAGATGGGTGCTCCCGCTGTAGCGTTGGCTTCTTTCAGAACCGACTGCTTGCTCCCGTTGTTTAGAATGGCTATCCCGCCCGAGTGCGGGCCAAATTTCTGGATTCGAGTTCTCTCTGGGCGTTGTCGCTCCTCTTTTCTACCCTCCGCCGCCATCCGGTCCGCCTGCTCATCCGCCGCCTGCTCATCCGCCACCACCACCTCGTCCTCGTCGTCGTCCTCCTCCTCCTCCAATGTATCCAGGTTCCCTTCTTGATTGCGCACAGCACAAAGGGGTCGTTTTGGGGGTTTCAGGTCCGCTATGACACCCGTCGGCGTTTAGAGGAAAGGCAACGCAATGAGAAGGGATGGGCGGGAGGAGTAGGATGGCAGATATGGCGCGACCGCACCTAGCTTGCCTCTACCCCCTTTTTCAGATTCAGCAGAACACGATGGGTTCTTTTTTCCCACATCCTGATTGGGGTTCTTGTTTTCCCAGAACTCCTTCTCCTCCTCCCCTCCTCCTCCTCCTGCCTCCTCCTCCCACCTCTGCCTTTCCCTTGCACTACCACTCCCAGTGCTACCACTACCACTGCTACCTCTACTGCTACTGTTACCACTATGGCGGCGACGACGACTACTGCGACTACGACTACGACTACGACTACGACTACGACTACGACGACTACTACTACTACTACTACTCCTACTCCTACTACTACTACTACTACTACTACTACTACTACTACTACTACTACTACTACTATTACGGCTACTACTACTACTACTACTAATGCGAGTAACCTGCCCACTACTACTACTATTACCGCTCGTACGACGACTGCTACTACCACTACCACCGCTACTGCAACTACAACAACATCAGCTACTACTACTACTACTACTACTACTACTACTACTACTACTACTACTACTACTACCACTACTACTACTACTACCGCGACTACGACTACGACCTACTACGACTACTACTACTACTACTACTACCACTACTACTACTACACTACTACTTACTACTACTACTACTACTACTACTTACGACTACTACTACTACTACTACTACTACTACTACTACTACTACTACTACTACTATACTACTACTACTACTACTACTACTACTACTACTACTACTCTACTACTACTACTACTACTACTACTACTACTACTACTACTTACTACTACTACTACTACTACTACTACTACTACTACTACTACTACTACTACTACTACTACTACTACTACTGCTACTACTACTACTACTACTACTACCACTACTACTACTACCACTACTACTACTACTACTACTACTACTACTACTACTACTACTACTACTACTACTACTACTACTACTACTACTACTACTACTACCTACTAGTAGTAGTAGTACTACTACTATAGTACTACTACTACTACTACTACTACTACTACTACTACTACTACTACTACTACTACTACTACTACTACTACTACTACTACTACTACTACTACTACTACTACTACTACTACTACTACTACTACTACTACTACTACTACTACTACTACTACTACTACTACTACTACTACTACTACTACTACTACGCTACTACTACTACTACTACTACTACTACTACTACTACTACTACTACTACTACTACTACTACTACTACTACTACTACTACTACTACTACTACTACTACTACTACTACTACTACTACTACTACTACTACTACTACTACTACTACTACTACTACTACTACTACTACTACTACTACTACTACTACTACTACTACTACTACCACTACTACTATTAATACTACTACTACTACTTCTACTACTTCTTCTTCTTCTTCTCCTACTACTACTACTACTTCTTGATATTTACACGGTGTCGTGCCCCGCCTACCCCTCCAGAGAGGCCCCGCGAGAGCGAGGAGGGTGCTGGAACCACGCAATATTTACACAGTTTCGTCCCTCCCCCTCCAGGGATGCCCCGCCAGCGCGAGGAGGATATCGGAGTCACACACTATTTACCCGGCTTCGTGCCCCTTCCACAGGAGGTAGTGTTCCAGAAGGAGGGAGCGCGTCCTGAACAGCCGCCCTCTCCCTCGATGCTGCTTCCCCTCCTCGCCTTCGTCGGCCCTCCCTTGAGTATATTCGGACGTCATTGTCTTTTTTCTCTTTTACTCCTGTTGTGCCCCGCTCATCCCGCTAACCCAGTAACATCCTTATGTGGCGAACTCCTATAGAATAGTTGAGTTCAGGTCGGCTATGACACGCGTCCGTGGATAGAATAACAACCAGGGCAATGGGAAGGGACGGGAGGGGGAGGGAGCGGATGGCAGATGTGGCGCGAGCTCACCTAGCTTGCCCTTCCCCCTCTCCCCCCTTCTCGTGACTCATGGCCGCGGGCGTTGGTCCTTCGAAGAAACGCTGCCCTGCCCCCTCCCCCAGTGGCCTTCGCCGACCTCCCTCCTCCTCCTCCTCCTCCTCCTCCTCCTCCTCCTCCTCCTCCTCCCCCTCCTCCTCTTCTCCCTCGTGTCCCCTTC